CGTGAACTAAGTTTTCGCGAATTATTTTTATTTGCATGCATATATATTAACTCTAAAATATTTACATAATTATGAGTTCAGTTTACTTGGTATAAAAAAATCGATTTAGTTATTTCTTTGCTAGCACTCTAGATAAAAAAAATTAATATTAATCAGTTAAATAGCGATATCTCGCGTTCTATTGAACCGTATCACGTAATTTTGGTACCATTCGACTCATCTCAATGAGACGAGTCTAATGGTACCTAAATCACGTGATTCGGTTCACTAGAGCGCGAGATATCATTAATGCGTCAAATTAGGCACTGCGTCAAATTAGGCATACTTACCTTATGTATAGAAACTTTTATTAATTTAAATACCAGAAAAGGTTTATACTTCCCACTTTTTTCTCTTCTATATTAATAACGATGTCATTTAACACATAATGTTTAATTAAAATTTGCCTTTGCTCAAGTTCAGAGGAGGTATGAATAGAAAAATGAGGGGTATAAATAGCAATTTCCTTCTTAATAAGGCAACAATTTTATTTAAGAAAAAATTGTATAAAACATTAACGTTAAGTGAAAAAATACTTATTAATTTATCTGATTTTATTATAGATGTGCGTAAATTAAAAATACTTTTTGTTATGATCTTACTGTACATTATAAATAATAATAAATAATGTCTGATTATGAAAAAAAAAAGTAATTAACATTTTAATGTTCACTAGTGATAGGGATAGTTATTGTATTTTCCGATATACCCTCGGAAACATCAGATTCTACTGATTTTGCTGAGTAAGGTGGTGGTAGGTCAGTACGATAAGTTGGAGGTGGAGATGGAGGAACATTAGTAGTATTTCTAAAATTTTGATCAAAAATTTCAAATCTTTCTACTAAATTTTCAAGTCGATAATTAGCGAATGTTGAATAAATCGGACCATTCGAAGCTTCTATTTGAGTTGAATTGTTTTGTTGCGTTGATTGAGGGATGTGTATTGTTTGTGATTCATTATACAATTTTAGTCGAACAAATATCTAAAAATGTAATCCAATTATGTTATTTACCAATTAAAAAAATGAATGTTTCATAGTTCGCTTTATCCTAAACATATTTACCCAATATATTGTATAAGACAGTAATACCGATACTAAAGTAATTAACATATAAAGTAGTATTAAATGTTTACGTTTAATGACATAAGTCAGAGGAAACACGATACAGAGTATACATGAGGTAACTATGTAAGCATGATTAACATATTTATGAAATTTAGGATACTTCGGTATCATTTTTTTAATTTATTTATTATTTTTTTTGAATT